CATAGAGATCTAGTCTTCCCAGGTTCTTAGAAGAATTACATATAAACACAATATATTCTCCCATTTCTGGTACAGTTTCAGAAAATATGCTTGTTAAAATAATAATGGAAGCAACCTTGAGAGGAAAGCTATATTCTGTTTTGAATATGGAAATCCAATGGGACATCCAATGAGAGATGTTGATTTGAGCATATGCTTGGTGCTGCTTATCCTGGATGCCAGATTTTTTGTTTTTAGGTGAGAATCTGTGTTTCAGAGAAGTGACCTGACTTGTTCATACATTTTCTCTTCCCCTCTCTGATCCCCCAAATAGCATTTATTTATCATATCTAAACCAAATACTAACGTACCCAATCTCACCAAATCACATGGTAGGTTTTGGCCAGCACAGAACTGAGATAAGAAATTTTGGGGTATTTAGTAACCAAAAGATTCACTGCTCTAGGATCTCTAAAATGAGTCTTCTTCATGAATATTTCTCAGAGTTTATCCCTGCCCTCTTTAATGGTGAGGTCCAGCTAAAAAATATGTATAGTGTTGAGCACCTCATAGTGGTAGGCCCAATAAAGTTCTCATACCCACTGGCTGTACTCATGTGGGTTCCAGGACAGTGTTGCATAGTAGAGAACTGGCTTCAGAGCCAGGGTTTGGGTTCTACCACATATAGTGGCTAAGTGACTCTGAGCAAATCACCTAACCTCTCAGTGCTCTAGGCAGTTCTTTTAAGACTTAGTTTCAAAGAAACTGAGAACTTGTATTGATAGAGGGTGTTTATTCTTTTGGGAGTTCCCAGTGAAATCCCAAGTCTAGTCCCTGTTCCTGTGTCTGTCCTTTGCCTGACATCCCATGGTGACTGTAGGCTTGATAGTATGATGAGGGATTTAAATGTTGCTATTTTTAAAAATAATTCAGAATAGAAAATAATAGATAAAGGATTTATTGGCAAGATTATATTTTTATATTTTTGTTTTGAATTGGAAATTATATACCTTGCTTTGTATAAACTGATGTTTAAATATCTTAAAACTACTGAAAACTAGTAGATAGTGATTCTGTAAATTGTAAATGTTATTCAAGAGAAATACGTAGCTCTGTAACTTCTACTACATAATTTTTATTTGAGATCTATTGAAAATTACACTTGAAAAATTTTATCAGTTAACATTCTGTGTCAAGATGGTAGACCGAATCAAAAGTTCATCTTAAAATGCATATTATTTAATATGTATCAAATTTAGATAAAATCTGTTAACTCATTTTAAAGTTATGAAACAGACGAACATGAAATGCCAACCATTTGAAACAGAGACCCATATATTCATTCAACTGATAGTATTCTCAGAGTAGCCACTGACTGTACCAATAACTTTTCTAAATGTGAAACATCGTAAAATAATATGAAGTTCAAAGACATGGCCTTGAACTACATGAGCTACATGATATGAGATGCATAGAGAACTGACCAATACCAGGTTTAAGATGCTATGCATGATTCATAGATTTATTTTGCTTAGTCTTAAAGGTTCCTCCATAAGGGCTATCCTAAAAAATTGAAGTTAAAAAAATCAGATTTTTCTATACTAAATGAAAATGTAAGAGATGAAGAGGTGAACCAATTTATTTTATTTTATGTTAAGGGACAGAAAGACGTAGAATTTCAGAAACCTAAGGATACTCAAGAAGTTTAGTACAGCTTTAACCTGAAAGGTGAATAAACCCCCTCTATGATATTCCTGCCAGGTTGTTATCCAATCTTTACTTGAATTTCTCAGTTGATGTGGAGAGGGAGGCCTGCTTTCATTTTCTTGAGATAGTAGCAGTAACAAGCAAAATTATCAATCAGTAGGCATTTATTAAGTGCCTAGTATATGAAAGATATTGTGCTAAGTACTGTCCTCAGAAGGTTTATAATCTAGCCAAGGAGATATGTATATATATAATCTTAGATTTCAAATATACAAATGATTTTTGAACTTATCAATTCTGGAGCTCCCTCCAAAATTGAAGATTTCATTCCATACATGACTATCTGTCCTAATGATTATCTTTATGTTTCCCCTTTAGCTAAGTGGCACAGTGGTAACAGCTTTGGGCCTAGAGTCAGGAAGACCAGAGTTCAAATTAGGCCTCAAGACACTTACTAGCTCTGTGACTCTTAGATTAAGGGCAAGTTCCTTAACCTTTGTTTGCTTCAGTTTCCTCAACTGTAATATGAGTATAAAAATAGCATCTCCCCCTCTTCCAGTTGTAAGGATCAAATGAAATTTGATTTTTTTAAAATACACAGTTCATTGCACATACTAGGTACTTAATGCATGCTCATTCCATTCCTATTCCATCCATATTACCTGGCACACACCATGTCAAGTGTGTATAAAAAGTTACCAATAATTTGTCTCTCCCTTCCTCCTGTCCTCTCCTCTGTCCCTCCTTGCTTTTCTTCCTTTTTAAAAGAAATTTCATTTTATGATAGAGGCATGAATTCTCAGTCTCTGACTTTTCTCATTTCTTTTAAATTATGCTTCCCTCTATCCTCTCTTTTTCTCATCTATACATTGAAGTCACCAAGTGTGTATTGATTTGATTTGGAAAATCTTATGAAGTTATTCATAGAATTGCTCTACCACATTGCCCTGAGCAACAATTAGTGGAACAAAAACTACATTTATTTTCTTGGTAGTACTTTAACAAATGCTTACCATTAATAATGCAACACTTGAGAACCAAATTTCCCATGAAATATTTTTTCTTATAGCTTTTGGGTCTACCATAAAACCCAGTTCATTAATTCTTTTCGTTGTTTCTGGTAGGAGAATCAGCAGGCTATCCTTCCATTTAGCTGTATCATTCTTTCTTCTAATTTCATTTCTATTAAGAATGCCAAGATTAATATGATTCAGCTCCTCCAGCAGTATATCCACCTATTGGTCATTACACAAGGATCTCACATTTGTAGTACCAGTTAAAGGTTATTGACAGTTTAAAACTGGTTATTATTCAGCACCAAGTGGCCAACCTACTGATGATAGACCTCTCTGTAATTAGCTAGTCTGGCCTTAGGAAAACAGAATGTATCTATTCCAGAGGCTATACTCAAGGTCTTTCTAGTATGGTAGAATCTACGATACCTTATACTACCTAGCATACCCTTTGAGAATCTAGGGTTGCCTGTATCCCACAAAGAGGCATTCAAATATGTGTGTGTGTGTGTGTGTGTGTGTGTGTGTGTGTGTGTGTGTGTGTGTGTACGTACTCATACTTATAAAAAAATCTAATAGGCCATTTGAGGGGCAAGACTCTAGCAGATGAGAAAAAGTTTCATGTAGAAGATGGCATGGGAGCTGAGTCTTAAAGGAAACTAGTTGATTCTAAAAGACAAATGTGAGGAAGCAGTGCATTCCATGCACAAGATACAGTTGTAGGGAACAGAGACAAATGAGCCACAATAAAAGTCAGTTAATCTTAATTATAATATACCTCTGTGAAATAATATTAGAAATTAGGTTTCACCCAGGTTGCTGTTTGTTTATATTTGATCCTTGAAGTAATAGGGAGTCACTAGAGTTTACGGACTGGTGACATGTTCAGACCTGAGCTTTAGGAAAATGACTTTGGGCAGCTTTGTGGCAGATGGATTGGAGCAGAGATACTTTAGACAAGGAGACAGGAGACTATTGTAACACTTGAGAAAAGAAGTGGTAAAAGCTCACACTATGGTGATGGCTCTGTGAGTAGAAAGATGACAGATGCAAGAGATATTGCAGAGTTAGAAATGACCAGACTTGGCAACTGATTAGATATGGAGGGTAAGTGAGAATGAGAAATCAAAGATGACATTGAAGTTGCAAACCTTGGTAATCATCCAGATACTGGAGAAATGATTGCATAATATATTCTGTTTTCAAATTACAAGTGGTAGTTGTAAGTGTTCAGGGCTGAAGTGAAATGTATCATTGACTCCATTTTCTTCCTTGCATCACATTATAATATTACTTTCTTATTTTAATATATTTCTCGTTATATTCACTATTAATTCAATTTTTAAAAATATAAAAATGTTCTCGCCGAAACATGTTAGGTTTGTAAATTTGTATTCATCTAATCAATTTTGTATGATTGTATTCTAGAGACCGGGTAATTGGTCTAATGATGACTGCTTGTGACCTTTGTTCTGTAACAAAGCTGTGGCCAGTTACAAGACTGACAGCTAATGACATATATGCAGAGTTCTGGGCTGAGGTATGTATGTGTTTCTCTTACCTACACAGATAATATCAAGAAGTATGAAAAACTCGAGAAAAGAGTTAAATAAATAGCTCACAATTATTTAAAAAGTATGTTATTTGTGTTAATATTCATTTTAAAGTTATTATCCATAACAGCTATTCTTTACCAATATATGTACTTTACTAATATATGTACTAAGAACAAAGACACTACTTTTTACATTGTAAATTCCTATGATAATCTTCACTATATTAATTTCATTGGTTCATATGAAAGAATGTCTGTAACTCATTCAAGGAATGAAAATTATTCTTTTTCTTCAGCTAATATTTAGATCTTTTCCCCCCACACTTTGTAATAGATCCATATATGAAATTACCTGTTGATAAAAATTATTTTGTTAAAAAAAAAAAAGATGCTCAGATTCTTGTAATCTAGCCACTGCTGGGATTCTTATAATCTAGCCACTGCTCAGATTTTCACAATCTAGCCAGTAGCCCACAGATGCTCAGATTCCTTAAGAGTCTAGCTAATATGGCGAATCTTCAATAAACTGTGTTTTTGGCTGAAAAAAGTGATTTTGTTGCATTGCTATATAATAATGTCAGAGGTAAATAGAACTCAGAGAATGTGGGTTCTGTAGCAAGAATAGAGAATTAATTAAAAACACAGTACTCAGTGAAATTTTTATTAGTCTTATTGTCTCTTTTCTTTGCTTATCAGAAATGTTATTCTGTTTTTTAATTCATAAATTTACAATGTAAATTGCCTACCCAGTCAATATACTGGGAAAGTATATGAGTCCCTTCTCAAAAATATCATTACTGGGTTAGGAAAACTGAAAGATATTTTTCTAAAAGTTTCGTACATTCTCATTCATCTTCTTTTAGGAAAGTTACATTTTGCAATTTGGTATTTGATACTTAATAGTTTAACTTGTAGCTCACCCAGGAAGAGCAGTAGACTTAAGAAGTAAAAACTAGCAAATTGTTCATCTGCAGTTTTAAGTTGAAAAGTTTTACGTTACTTAAATTTGTTTCAAGCAAAAGAATTCTTGTGTGAGCACCGTGATTGTTCAGTTGATTGCATGTCATGGAACTGTTTCTCTGGAATGTTGTATGCCCTGTGTAATTGGGTGTTCCACACATGCTTGTGTGTGTGTGTTTATGTGTATATGTGTGTTTTGTCACAGGGCCTAGTTATTGTCAGACTCATTTAGTAAAGTTATTTCAGATATGCATGTCTTAAATTCCTCAGCTGAAAGAATTTGTATGTTATTCTGATTAGGCTGTTATAACAATGTAAAAGTTAATTGCATATTTTTCGAAACTGGTATATCTGGACTACATTCTATGAGTATCCCTTAGAACATTTTTGGAAAAAACAAAAACAAAAAAATGGAGCATCTAGGTGGTGCAGTGGATAGAGCACCAACCCTGGAGTCAGGAGGACCTGACTTCAAAGCCGGCTTCAGAAACATAAAGCTGTATGACCCTGGGCAACTCACTTAACCCCAATTGCCTCACCAACCAGAAAAAAAAAGAACATTTTTGGATGTCATGGAAAGTAATTGTTGTCCAAGACATACATTTCATTAATTGTAGTTCTGTAGCTAAATTGGTCTCCTAAACTAGAAAATTAAAATGTCATAGATATGTAAAATACTCATTTTTTTCCTATGTAATTGAGATTAATTATTATAGCACTAAGATTTCCTTTGAATGGAGTTATCTAAAGAGACACACTAAGAAAAAATCTTGGTACAAATGACTTTAAAAGTCAGTTGGTCCAATAATCAATTCCTCATCAAGTTCTTCGTTATTTTGTATTGTTACAAATTGATGCATTTTAAAACACTGGGCCAATTTTATTCAACCTTCATATTCACCAGGATGCACAGCATATAAGAGGTAATCGATTAGTAATTTAATTGAATGAAAGGGAAGAGAATGGAAGTGAAAGGAAAGGAAAGGAAGGGAAGAAAGCAAAAAGGGAAGGGAAAGGAAGAGAGAAAAGATGGAAATAAGGTTAACATTCATAACATCCTTTTTCAGCACCCTTTCTCTCCCCACTTAGGTTATAAGTTCTTTTAGAAAAAAAATTGCTTGTATTATATGAAAATCATCATAGCTTATAAAATAATATGTATCCTGTATTCAGTAAATCGTTGATGTAATGGAGATGATCGGATTTTCAAATTGCATGGTTATGAGATACCTGAAATATGAGACATTATGTCTGGTGTTTTTTCCATAATAATAGTAAAATTTAAAATCATCCTTAGTTAAAATGCTGTTGTACCAGTATTGATAAATATTGGTGCCGAGCAAAGTATGATACTAAGTATATCACTATCTATTTTATTAATATAATTTTCTTTTATGCTAGTGTAAAAAATTATTAGAAATGTTTAGGTGCAAGTCTGCCTGAAAGCAAGAATATATGCCAGAGGATTGCCTTTCTAATCCTGTGATTCTTTATGGAGCCCTAATTTTAATTTTTTGGATTATCTGAATGTGTAATTGCATGTGAGAGTGTGTGTCTATATATAGATATAAACACATAGACACATATATATACATATACACACACACACACATATATATACACACACACATGTATTTTTTGGCATGAGACTGTGGATATATATAAGTAAAATAATAGTAATAAATAAATTCTAATTGATGAACTTTATTATTTTAATAGTTACATGTAACATGGAAATTTATGGAAAGTGTAATACTCCATAGATACAGATCATATTAAATACTTATTAGCTTGATCAAAAGGCTTCTAAGCAGCTAGGCTCATAGTGGGTAAAGCACTAGACTTGGAGTCAGGAAGATCTGAGTTCATATTCGACTTCAGACAGTCGCTTTGTGATCCTGAACTCCGCACTCTTAGCCTGGTTTCTCATCCACAAAATGGAGGATACTAATGGCACCTACATCATCACAGAGGAGTTGTGAGGATTGAATAAGATAACATATTTAAAGCACTTTGCCAGTTGCAAGGCACTCTGTGTAAACATTAGTTTATTATTACTAGTATCATTCAGAAAATTCATGTTTGTGCATCACAACATTTTATAGGCTCCAGTTGAATTGCTCAAGATCATTCTTCCACCCATACACTAGGAGCATGAAAGAGAATTTGGAAAACTATGAAGAAAAAAAAGACATTGCTGTCATTTAAAGTATTGCCTTCTACTTTTTCTTTTGGGTCCTCCCTGTGGACTAAATGAACTATGATGGCTTCCAACTCAAGGATTCTATAAGACCTTTTATTTCTTTCAATTCTCTTTGTTAATGCTTGGAGGAAGGAGACAGAAAGTGTAGGTATATTCCTAGCACTTCTAATTTACCTTAAAGAAATCGTTAAGATAAAATGAAGGAAACTATAAGATAACTAGAGTATATTGTACTGTGAAAGAACAGTTCTGTTGAACTTTTTCTGAAATGTATCTTTTAGTAAACTGTTTTGCTTTTGGATTGTCAAGCAAATATAATACATTTTTAAATAAAAAGACTTTTATACCCCCCAAAAATTATATTCCCTTAATTTCACTAGTTACTTGTAAAGAGAGAAAACATTACTTTTTCCTTTTTTTTCTTTTTCTTTAGGGTGATGAAATGAAGAAATTTGGAATCCAGCCTATCCCTATGATGGACAGAGACAAAAAGGATGAAGTACCTCAAGGCCAAGTATGAATTATCTCATTAAACAGATGTTTTGTTTCAATCATAAATTGTGTACAAGGAAACTCCTAATTGAGTAAAATGTGAAATCTTACAACATATTTTGCACACAAGGTTGTATTATATTAATGTAGTGTGTCATGATGACCCCACTATAGTCATCTTCTTTAGAAAGATTGAGGAAAGTAGAAAAGATAGCCACCTTTAGTCACCTTGAACATTGAGTCTTCCAGATGTTTAAAAAAGCATTTTATTGACCTAAATTTAGAGAATTCTGTAAGTACTAGTGACCCCAAATACCAGTTCTGGGGAGGCTTCTGTGAGGGGAATTGATCACTCCTATTTATACAGAGTTTGGAATGGTGGTGAATACTTTAGAGTCTGAATCCCACATCTGGATTTCAACGCTTCATAGGTCTGTCTTGCAGATCTGGAGGAGAACAACAGAGTAAACTGTGAGAACCTCTGATTGCTTGGCCTTGAGCCCTAAATAGCTAATCAGAGCATATGTTAACTGTAATAGTGGTTGTAAATATTTGGTGGTAATAACATAAAACATTTTGTACATTTTGTACTACTTATCTTTGTCAGAATTACTAGGTTATCTACCCATGTACAAATAACTCTCTCCTTTTACCTTTTGCCCTACTCACTAATGTCCTTCTTAAAACAGCTGGCATGAATTAATGAAATAGGACTTGTTAAACACTTTTTATGTACCAAGCGTTGCAGTTAAGTGCCAGAGATAAAAATACAACAGCAAATACAGTCCCCTACCCCTAGGAAGCTTATGTTGTAGTAGGGGTTTTTACAGGAGAGCAGGTTTTTACAGGAGAGTAGGGAACCAGGAGGAACACTTTGGGCCATAAACTTGCAGGGATGGTGGAGTCATAGGAGAGCATGTTGACTTCAGAAGCAATCAAGGAGTTGATTTAATCATTATTTAAATGCTAGAAGAGGTAGGAGGAGTATAGATATATGCCCCTGAGGCACCTGGAAAGGCCAATAAGACAATGGCTATAGAATGAAATGAAGGATGGCTGGGACCTGCCTAGTGACAGTAGGGCCTAAAGGTGGAAATTTGGAGATGGAAGGATTAGAACATCTAATGGGAGATTTTTGCTGCTTGGCAGCTGGGAGGCACTCTATATACATAAAGTTTGTTTAGTTTTTTTTTTTAATTGGTAATATTTTAGATGTGTGTACTTCAGGTGAAATAAAAATAAAAGTGAAAAGACCACTTTTGATGAATATAATGAAAAATAACCTATTTCAGAGTTTTGGAAACAAGATTTTATTTTACTTCTAGGTTACTCAGATATGCATTGAGTTTAAAAGGTGATCGTTGTGTATTGATTATTTTAGAGCTTGGATTCTTATCTAATGTAACTTTTAAAACTCAGGTGAATAATTGATTTACACTATTTAGAGTTTGCCAGAATATCAAGGGCATTTTGGTATATTTACATCATTTACAATGAAAAAGAATTTTTTTAAAAGGGCTTAATCAAATGGTTCCAGTTCTTTTGCTAGCATTGCTTTCATTAAGAGGTTAACCATATGGATGCTTGTTTATTAAATAATATAATATGTTTGCTGCTTTATCCTGTAAAAAGTATCTAAACGTATAGTCTTGAGTTGAACTCTACAATGAAAGTTTTGCCAGTGTTTTATATGAATATAGAATCCACTCATGTAAAATCAATTAAATTTTAGAGACTTCTCAGATTTAAAAATATAGATTGCCTCTCCATGTTTAAAACATGTGTTCCTGAAAAGATGCCTGTAAGGCAAATTACTGTATATTGTTTTATTTTCTCATTAGTTTCCATTTCACATATATATATATATATATACACACACATATGAATATATGCATGTGTGTACTTTACCTCATGTCAGGATTAAAAAAATCACCCTTATTATGGCTGCTTTGTACCTGAGATTCAATTCCCAAGCCACAGCTCAATCATATTCCAAGCCAGACTTCTGACATTCTGCAAAACTAGTAAAGACCTCTTTTCTGCCTTGTAGCATATGCTAAATGTTAAGTTTACAAATTCATGGGTAGTTTGGAGTATAGTATATGCATATTGGATATTCACTGCAGTTGCTTGTTGAACTGAGCCCAGAATTGAAAAAGAGAAAGACAAGAGCTGGATAAGAGATTAAACAGTATTTTTAATGACCCTTAGCATATTGTAATGATATTATGTAGGTGTGACTCATAGAATACCACTGCTAACAGGTCTAGACAAATGCACATTCTTTATCCACTGGGTTTTTCCTGTGTGAAATGTTGAGCCAAATTCTTTTAATTGGCTATGGATATAATTGAAGAGATTCTGCGGTGTTCAGCGGCTCAGTGCAATCACACTATAATGCACAGACAGGAGTATCTGAGAATGTGGACTCTGTGCTGAGAACCTCTGTGATGGCAATAAACATAGGTTTCTCTTCTGAATCAGTGTTGCCCTTCCAGATCTCTCCACTTATCAAGGAAATCAAGGGTTGGCTAGCAGAGGTAGTTCATAGGCTTTTTGGATGTAGGCTCTTCTTGATGTAGAAATACATAAAAGTATGTCAAGTACATATTTTATTGATGACTTCAGTTTTTGTTTCACATTCATTTCTGATTATATCCTTTCTTTGCCTAATGATGGAGCTCTATTAACAAAGATTTAAAAGAGAAAAAAATATAATAAATTAGTGCATAGTTCATGCGTAATAGTATATTCAATATTCAGCATCCATAGCTCCATATCTCTTTAATGAAAGAAAAGATATGCCTTTTGTCAGTTTTCCTCCAGGGTTAGGCTCAGTCATCATGATTACACAATTTCTATTTTCATTTGTTTTTGTTCCTTACATTTACATGTTGTAGTCACTGTGTCAGTTATTTTCCCAATTCTTCTTTCTTTACTCTCTGTCATTGCATACATATCTTTCTATTCTTTACTGAATTCTTCATAATCATAGTTTCTTATTGACCAGTAATATTCTATCATATTTACAAGCCACAATTTGTTTAGCTTGTGGTGGTTGTGATTTGTCCTTCATTCTTGAAGAGGACCATGACACCAGGGAGATGATGACATGACTTACAATTGACTTTGTTTTGAATGAGGGAAGGCTGTGCAAAGTCAAAGTTACTTTCTCCTCCAGAGCCATCTGGGTCCAGTGGCTAGATATTGATCAGAATGACTAGAGGTGGCCCAGGATGCAGTGGGAAACCTTGGCCCTTTTAAGCTAAGGTCTTTTCAAATTCTCCCTTTGAGTGAAGCAACACCCGTTTAGTAAATAGGCCTCTTAAAGAAGTGAATCACGGGATGGCCCCTTTAATAAAAAAAAAAAATTAAACTGTGAGGGGAAAACCCTCAGGGTTGTTGGTGCAAAGAGAAACAGTTGCTGTATACATTCACTGTGAGCCAGGAGGGCCCAAAAAATAACTAGTAAGTGGTAATTTGATCTATTGTTTTCTGATTCCTGAGATCCAGAGTGAATTGGGTTTAAGGCTTGGTCTTTGAGAAAGAAGCCTAGCCAGTGAACCCCAAATTAACTAGGTAGCTTTCAGGCATCAAAATTTATCTTCCTTTAGGCAGAACACCCTCAGGTAAGGGGAGAGCAGGGGAGGAGCTGAGTTGCCCAACTGCAGCTGGCCAACTGGGTCCCCATTTAGACAGCTCAGACTACTCACAGGTTGTGGTTCTCAAAGAGGACCATAACATCAGGAAGATGATGACATGACTTGCAGTTGACTTTGATTTGAATGAGGGAGGGCTGCTCAAAGTCACCAGCCTCACTTTCTCCTCCAGAACCATCTGAGTGCAGTGTACAGATATTGATCGAGCATTTACCTTGTTTCAAGTTCTTTGCTCCCCCAGGAAGTTCTGCTGTGAATAATTTGGTGTGTGTGGTATCTTTATTTATACCTTGGACCTCCTTTAATATGTACAAGATTATGTACATTTTAGTCACTTTTTTTTTAAGCATAATTCCAAGTTACTCACTGAAGTGGTTGAACCAATTCATAGTTTCACTGCCAGTATGTTAGTGTTCTTGACTTCCCACATTCCCTTGTTGAAATTAATTTCCATTAGCTTAAATTTCTTAGGAAATTGTGATTGTTAATGTCAGTAACTTTTCCATTTGGAGTCATCAGTAGCTTGTTAAAATATGTTAGTTTGAAGTGTCTCAGTTGCATGATATGACTTTTCATTTTTATTCCTTAGAAATGGTGAGATAGTGTAAGTGATCAGTTGTTCAACTATTCCTATTTAGCACTCACTCTACTACTAATTCATTGCCCAGATGAGTTACTAAGTATAAATGTTCTTCCATTTTTTTAAAGTAGTATTGAAGAATCTTTAATTCACTTCATCCATTTTTTAAACTCTGAGCCCCCCCAAACTAGAGACAATACTTCTTGGAAAAACACCAGTGTTAGATCTATTGATAGTTACCTCTGAGAATGTTTCCTTTTCAATTGCCTCCTACTGTGCTTCTTATAAGTAATGCTATTTATTAAGACAAAGTAAATTCATAAAACAAATAAAGGTATCCAGACTTTCCCAGTGCCCAGAGGAAAAGATTTCAGGCTTCTATGAGAGAACTCAAGGAGAAAGGAGTTTATGACCTTGGGGCCATATGGTCTGGAAATTTCAGCAAAATAGCACCTGTCTGAATACTCCTCATGCCTGCTTGACTTAAGGAACCTTACTTCTGAAGTTTCAGCCTTTTTCTTTGAAGTGGTTGCCCCTGCCTGTTCTTCTCTCCTTCTACATGTAGATTCTTACAGCTTTCCTCATACCATTAAAAGTTGAGCTTCTATTCTGATCTCAGTGCAATGACTTTTAAAGATCATGCTGAATCATGGCCCATCATTCTTCACCCTGTGTTGGTTCCTTTTTGATTTATTTAAGAAACTAATACCTTATAAAGAGATCATTTGGCATGGTGGCAACTTGGGCCATTTAATACCTCTTTGTCATCCCCTTCTCTAAGATTATATCCTGTACTTTAAGGGAACACTCGTAGTTCTGTTTTTTAATTTGATTTTATTACCATTTACTGTAACAAGTGATTGGTCTGAATGCAGGCAGAGTATTAAAAATGACCCTCTTATTGGTAAGTGGTCATTTCCTGTCTGCTATAGTTCATTTCATAGTTTGTGAAGTTATTTGTTCCTCGCCTTGGCTAGTGTCTCACAACCCCATTTTGTAGGAGATATTTATGATGTGAGTTTCTCTAGAATCTGTAATCTTCTGGTCACTTTCATTTCTTCATGTAAAATCTTGTTTGCCAGTATATTTTTTTGCCCTCCTCCCTTGTACCCACTTCTATTTTGAAGTTACCAAGCAGCATAAGGTGATTTAATTTGAAGAGTCTTGAGGAGTTCTTCATATAATTTTCTACTTTAAAATTCTGTGCAACACATTGACACATCAGCTGCAACTATTTGATGGTCCTTTTACAAATGCTTTATCATAAGCATTGCAATGCTATTTTGTTCTCTGAAATGATGCTTCCCATTGTCACTTGGATATATGATTAAATCAACTCTGCCAACCCTTTTATATTTCTCTCCAAGAAGAGCCATCCTTCTATTTAGTTGCAACTTTATATCTTCTGATATCATTATAAGTAGAATATCAGTGATAATTGTTTCACTAGTGTATAGTATATTAGCTTAATGAGAGTTGAACAAGGCTCCCTCATATAGAGTACTAAGTGAAATTAACACTTGTATATGGTCTAAAAACTGTGTGATTCTTAGCATCTCTTCTACCTTTTCCAACACTTGAGTGGTCACTACTTCTAGTGGTCATTTCCTAGTCATTACCTTAGACCAGTCTGTGTTCTTTTTTTTTTTTGGTTGCCACCCCCAAATAATCTTTTGGTGATGAGCTTCTCTGTACTTAGTTAGCTAGAATTTAAAAAACAAAGTCTGATGCTGGGATTCTATATGAAACCCTTCCAATGTGATGGAACCCATCAGAACTATCACCCATTAACATTTTTTGAGAACCCAGGGTCACACCAATACCCCTATGAAGCATCAGAGTAGGGCTTCTGTTGAAGGTACCATAAACTAAATTTAATCCATTAGATAGATAGATAGATAGATAGCTGGTTGATGACCTTTAATAAGGCCCTTCTCTCTTCTTCTTCTGTAATGTTTCACTTGGCAATCTCATCAGCTCCCATCTCTAAGCTGATGATTCTCAGTTCTGCTTATGTAGCCCTAACCTCCAGTCTTCCTTCTCCAGCTACCTTTTAGAAATCTTGAATTTGATGTCTTGTGGATTTCTTAAACTCAGCATGTCCAAAACTGAACTTATGATCCTTTTTCCAAAACCCTTCTACCTTCTAACTTTCCATATAACCATCCAGATTCCCATTATTCTCCCAGTCACTCAGGCTCCCAAACCTAGGTGTTGTCGTCAACTCTGAAGTCTCAACCCATATACCCAATCTGTTGCAAAGAACTGTCAGTTTTACCTTCATAACATATGCCCCCTTCTCTCCTCTGACACACTGTCCTACTACAAACTCATGCTTGGACTTATGCAGTCAATTTTTGGTTGGTGTCCCTGCCACAAGTCTCTCCTCACTGCAGTCCATCCTCCACTCAGCTGTTAAAGGGATCTTCCTAAAACCAAGATCTGACTATGTCACCCATTCACTTAAACTCTCAGGCTCTCTAATACCTACAGGATCAAATGTAAAATCCCCCTTTTGGTGTGTAAAGTCAGACCCTTCTATTCCAGTTTTTTTACATCTTACACTCTACCACATACTCTGCAGTCTAGTGACATTAATTTCCTTGCTGTTCCTCCCACAAAACACTCCATCTCCTTAATCTGTTCATTCTCATAGGTTTGCTCCCATGCCTGGAATGCTTTTCCTCCTCATCTTTGTCTTCTAACTTCTCTGGCTTATTTAAAATCCCAGTTAAAATCCCAGTTTCTATAAGAAGCCTTTCCCATTCCCTCCTAATTCTAGTGCCTTCCCTTTGTTGATTATTTCTTTTTTATCTTTCATATCACTTGATTGTACATAGTTGTTTGCATGTTGTCTTCCTCCTTAGACTGAGCTCCTTGAAGGCAGGGCCTGTTCCTGCCTTTATATTCCCAGTAGCACAATGCCTGGCACATAGCAGGCACTTAATGTTGGCCAACTGTTAGGGACTGAGTCCCAATGCTTGACATTTAGTAACTTTATTCACTTTATTTTAAAAATACATTATAGGTATGTTGGAAAATATTGCAGTCCCTTTCAGTAGAAGATTGATCCACATTGATGAAATCACAGCTCTTTGAAAATTCTAAAATATTTTTAAATTGCATTTATTCTTTACTTATAGAGCAGAATGTATACTTTTTATAGTTGAACTTTGAAAGTGCCAGGAACACCTGAAAAGCATAATTGCTGCTATGATTTGTAGTATTTGACAAAGTAACTTACAAACTGATATTTCCTATCAACACTTTTTCCATCTTTGTCACAGCTCGGCTTCTACAATGCTGTAGCAATTCCCTGTTATACTACCCTTATGGAGATCTTTCCCCCTACTGGACCCCTGCTCCGGGCTTGCAGGTAAGAACCACTGCAAAGTATGGCTATGATGAAGTGGATAAGACTTTATCATTTTCCTTTAGGAGTCATTGTTTCATCTTTTTTTTTTTTTAATGAAAACTGTAGGATGTGCTTTTAGTACACCTGTGAGCATTCATATTTCTCCAAATCTAATTATACATCACCAAGTTAAATAATGTCTCTTGATATATGTGATCAAACTAAAAAATAATTTAATCTTCATAGCTTCTATTTATTTTCATTCCTAATTTAGTCTTGCTAGTTTTAATAATTAGTTCATTGAAGGTTTAAATGCCTAAATTTCTAAATGTCCATAAGCTTTCAACAAAGCACTTGCTAGTCTCTTCCAAACTGCATAAAATTGAGAAGAGAATGAGAGGAAAGTATGTGGAGGCACCAGTTGTGGATGTCCTTCTCAGTGAGCCTAGCCATGAAAGGGAGGAGAGATTGAGAACAAAAGCTAGTGGGAATGAATCGAAGGAGGATATCCCTGCCTAGAACAAGGCTAGGGAAAGGGACCAGACCTTTGTTTATATTCATTGAGGGGACATTCTGTGAGGAAATTCTCTCTAATAATGCGGTTTGACATGTAACATTCTCTGCAATTTAGTCTCAGAGGTTGCCGGAGTACTAAGAGATTAAGTGACTTGCCTAATCAGAATGTGTCAGAGGTGGAATTTAAGCCTGGGTCTTCCTGACTTGGAGGTTGGCTCTCTATCTACTCCAAGAGGCTTTCCTTCCTAAATTTACAATTATAATATTGTTGCCATCAGTAAACATTAGTAACCTAAAAAAATATAGTGTTTAGTTTTAGTTTTTCTTTGCTAAAGCTTTACCTAATTTACTTAAAGTTATATGGAGCAATGATTATTTGAATAACTTCTTATTAAATTTCTACTAAAGGAAGTAGGTGATATTCTCCGCATAGCCACCTCAAATTTACTAGTACTCTGAGATCTGATTTCCCGAGATAAATTATATTACCAAAACAAATGGTAAAATGAACTTAAGTACCTTCCTGATTGTTAATTCAAAGCCAGCCCTTCAGTCTAGTTCAACTTGTATCAAGTTACCAAATTCCCACCTCAGCCATAAATGTCTCTCTGTATTGAGTAACTTAGTGTAAATTACCATGTTGTGCTGCTTAAGCTATTCTTTACAGTAAATTATTGGGGAATTTTATGTGACTGCTATCTATATTTTTTTACATCTATAATACTTTATTTCTGTAATTTTTCAATGCTCTAGTTTGAAAGGTTATTAATAAAAGGAAGCCTCCAGTTAAGAAATAATCATCTAATTCAAATAATAGGTCTTAAAACTTTCTATTCTAATATTAAGCTGATTTAAATTTAAAATTGTGTCACATTTTCCCAGCATTCTGCTTATAATTTAAATACTTTTGGAGTTATGTTTTTCAACACCTTTGATTTGAATGAATTCCTGTAGATCTAGATCTGGGAGTCCTCTCTGTGTTATACCAGTGAAATTTCAAGTCCAATCTACCCAAAAAATCACCATAAAAAGTTGATAAAGGCTTAAAAGTAGTGACTTTTCATTTTCTCAGTTCATTTTGAAGAATCACAGCATTGAATTGAGCAAATAATGACACATTTCTCAAAATATGCACTTGATTCTACAAACTAATAGTTGCTTGTAAAGTATCAGAAAGCTGTTTCACATAGTGACCAGGGAAATGTCAGAATTATGTGAATTTGTAATATATCACTTTTATAGAGAGAATTTTTTATTTTTACTCATATGTATCAATTATATGAATTTCAGATGGGGAATTTTGCACAGATATTAGATTATACTTTCATTTTAAAAAGCATAGTCACTACCAAGTCCTGATCTTATTCTGGTCTTTGTTTAGCCACCTATTAATAGAAATATTCAGAATTGTGAAAAAGAACATGTATCTTTTATTTCCCTCATTTCAATTTTTGCTGAAATCAATTAAGAATTTTTAAATCTTTTAAATAAAAATTCTGATAGGAAATCGAGAGCTTCCATTCCTAGCCTATGTATCATCAGATTTGAATTGTCTATTTTGGGCAATCTTTTTTTTTTAGTATTTTCTAAAGCAATTTCCTTAAGCTACTTTGAATACTGCCTTCTAGTGAAAAGATTTGACCAACTCTTACAACATCAGATGTCTTAAAAAGAATTTTAACTATTGACTGTGGTCATATTTTTATCTATTAACTGGTCCTTTTTACTAAACTTATATTAATCCTTCTGTCTGGTATTTCTAATCCATAGGTTATATTTGCCTCAAGCCCCTACCCACACCCCCCTCAAGTCAATCAGCTGACAAATCTTGTCATATTTACCTCTTAATGTCTCTCATATTCATTTATTTATCCTCACTCTTTGGCCAATATTACTCTAATACAGATATTTATCACATTTTGCTTAAGCTATTACAAAATCTTCTAAATTAAATTTTTCCCCACTACGATCCATTTGTCTACCCAGCTGCCAAAGCAGTGTTCTTAACTCACAGGTCTACCTTCCCTAATCAGCACTCTCTAATGACTCCCCATTGACTCTGAAATAAAACATAAACTTGTCAGTGTGGCA